AGGTCATGAAATATCTCGTAAATATGAGTCGTTTTCGCGTAATTTTGCGTAAAATATAGGCCATTTTAAAACTTTTTTCTCAAAAATCGGCTCCATTTTTTTTTAAAAATTCTCGTATGAATCAAAAGATGGTAAAAAATACTAATTCTGTTCTCGGCACACACAATTTCGAAAAATTGAAAACATATCATTGGAAAAAGAAAATATTGAAAAGTACAATATTGAGGTTGTCTGAAAATTATTCTAAAAAATTAGGTCTTTGGAAAAGGTTCATGTGCAGTTTTTGGAAAAGACTAGTATTTTTCAAATAATTGGTGCTTGAATTTAATACGATTAATAAAAAAAGATTCTCGCGGAAACTGATCTGCATTTTTTCCAGGGATAAAGCCAAGGACTTTTAAAAGATAGGGCGGATTTCATTTGCATCGAATTCTCTGAATTTCCTAAAATTGCATGCTGGAAATAATGGGGAAAACCTTTAGATATTGAGAGTCGGAGAAAGGGAGTTCGGTCTAACAGCTACTCCGCGGTGTGACAGTAAAACGGAAGCTTAACTTGATGGGCCTGAGTTCGAGTCATGTCCCGGAGAAATACTTTTTTGGTGATGGGAAATACTTTTGTAGCTTCATTTCGTAGTAAAATATTTCATAACTGTTACAAGTTATGCGAGAAAGTATGTGCTGTTGAGCGCCACTAGTTTGAGGCCATCTATTGTAATTGAAAATTCTTTTTCTAAAATCAGAAGGTCCCACCGAGAATTGAACTCGGATCGCTGGATTCAAAGTCCAGAGTGCTAACCATTACACCATGGGACCTTGCCGGTAAAGCAGTAATTGAGCTTCACATTTCAATGTCTAACATTTCCAACATGGGTTCCGCGATGTTTTTTGAGGTACAGTGTTCTTTGTTTCTCATTGACAATGAACAAGGAATAATTGACAAGGAAGGGTTCGTGGTGTAACTGATTGCACTATGGGTTTTAAATCATGCGATCTGATTAGAACTTCCTTTGTGCACTAATTGCAACACAATTTGTAGCTGAGTGAAATAATTGATCTATGAACTAGGTATGAAATATAGAGATCAGTACCTGAAACAATCTGTTTCAACAAAACTTCCATGTACTTCGATAATGGAAAGAAATGCACGGGAATAAAATTTAAGGTAATAGAAGCTATGACTTATTCTACACGCGGATTTGAAATATGACACTAGTTTTGGAAGTTTTGGAAACACGTTAAAAACACATGTTCACAATCAGGCACTATTCAAATGAGAATAGAGTACTTGCGATGAAATATTGACTTTCTTTTTTATGTAAACGATACGTCTTCGTCCATTAAAAATGGAAGAGCAGTTGTGTTCGTCGAAGACACGAATGTTTTTTCCCAAAAGAAACAATAAATAGTACGATATCAGAAGTTCCAAACTGATTTCGTAACAACGAATAATTAATAGTTAACGAAGGAAAACAGTTTCAATGCATTTTTGCATTTCAAATCGGCAATCGCATGCTCCATTGAAAATGAACAATACGCAAATATTAATGCTGATATTAAGGTAACGAAATGTCTGGGTCTCTCAATTTAGTCAAACCTCAAATGGAATATACATATAACAATATTAAACACTAAATTAAGCTAATTCTGTTACACATTCAGATTTCTTTCAAACTCTTAAGGCCTCGTGAAGCTCATGCATGTATTTTTCATAAGAGCATTCCCGCCTTCGATTTGGCATAATATCCTGGGGGAGCTCATCCTGTAATACACAGCTCTTTGGGTCGCAGAAAAAACATTCGAATAATACAAAAATGTCATTCACGTGATTCCTGCAAGTTTCTGTTCACTGAGCTTGGTATTATCATTACATTGCCTATTTATTTACGAATCTGTAATTTTTGTGAAAACTGACTTACTTAATGGTATGGGAACATATTTTCACGCAAAACTGATATTTATAATTTAAACACGTCGTAGAAATCACATTAATCGGGTGTCAGTATCAGCAGCTCACTACAAGAAATCCACATATAATACATGGACGTTTCTTTATAGCACATTGCCATATGACATTAAACAATTAAAAACGATACACAAATTTAATTCAATGAAAAATATTTTCTGTTGCATAATTGTTTCTATACAATTATAGCCTACATTAATCATTAAAAATGTTTATTTTAACAATGATATAGAATGCATTATTTAACAGCCGAATTAGTTTACATTGTATTGTATAATTTTAAAAAAAATTTAATACGCCTGTAAGTAATGTACTTCATCTTCCGGGTCAATGACCATTTCGATCAGGTTTTGTACAGTGATTGATTTGTATAGTGGTCTTGATCCATTGAGAAAATGCTGAAATGGTTCCTTGTTTTGCTTTGCTCTATACAAAGAAAACAATGAAAAAAATGAAGCATTTTTTTAAGAAAAAATCTAATTGTTATAAAGGTATTATGTAACGTACCCCCACATCAAAATATCCGTTTAAAATTGGCAGGGTATCGAGTTCCACCACTTCGTTTCAGGGACTATCAATTTTAGAGATGATTGATCGGTTTAGGTGGTAACGTAGATCGTACACTAACAGTTTTGTGTTAGCGTTGACCACGAACGGGTAGACAGACCGACAGCCGGAGTCGAGAACTGTATTAACTAAGTGTGAATCAAGAAATAATTAGCAATTCACAGAAACCTTTACGAATAAGTTTCGCGGACTGAGCAGTCAAATTTTGGATTCAGAAGTATAACGTGCGCATTCATGTTTCTGACAGTGGTCCGTTCACTCGAGAAAAATCCATAAATTTTTTCATACAGTCTCATTGACATTTATTCACTTCAGGGAAGCACATTGATCCTTCATCAGAAATCGCCGAAGAAACGTCAGGGTAAGCACGTCTTCGTTATAAAAGCCTTCTTAGTAGATACACTGATGGTATTCTGCTCTGAGGCTTTTCCGACACTTCGCTTTGTTTACTTCAGTGAATCAACAAAAAATCGTCGGCTTCAAATAAAATTTGCGGAGGTCCTCATTTCTTTGGAGCCTCTCCCCTCATAATTTTGAGTGCCAGAGACGCCCGTAGTATCCTCACAGTCATATGTAGGTGGTGGATTTTAATGGAATGTTTCACTTCAGGATAGTGCCTTTATGTCATTAAAAAGGAATTGGCCCATTTTATTAGGCATTTTTCATCGAATCAGACATATGACTTTTTTAATTTTCCTCTTAATTTTTATTACCTTTTCCCGTCACCTTTAAAATATGTTCGCTGATTTTATCGATTTTAATATCATTATAATAATCCCATAACATTTATGAGAAACAGAAAGCGTTTTCTACAGAGTTACTGTGACACATTCAATTTCTTCGATCAGAAATTGTAATGTCAGCGCTGGTGGGTAACCTAAGCTTCCTGTGACGCCTGGCAGTGACATGTTCATTGTTCGTTCGGCCGATTCAGCGAAAACTTATGACAGACTTTCTGGAAAAGTACAGTCCAAATCAAAACTTTCGCATGCTGAGATATCTTGAACGAAAGAAAAAAATAACTCGGTTACATGAGTAATATACCGGACAGATACAGACTTGTACGATGTGAGGTGTCTTCAGAGCGAAAATCGGTGCGTGGTTAAAATACCTCTTACAGCAAAACATGTAAAAAGAGTTTTTTACTACAGATAGTGAGTGAATGAGGCTTAATAAAACATAATTTCCTCAAAGAATCAGTGTGATTTAATCATCTAATTTAGTTTTAATGCAACCTTTGACATAATTTTCTTCGCATTGTTCAATCATTTTAAGAGCATTTTATTGATAATTTTGACGACGTTTTAGGACACCAAAATCTTCCGGTTGTCACCAGAAGTTCTCTGCACGCTGACGCTGTAAATGTTAGTATGCGACCGGCGATGGCTATCGACAGCAGACCCTGCAGCAGCTGGGGACCGAGGTTACTGCATATCAGTGTTGTACGATAGAAAAAATCTTCCTGATGAACGGCGATGAAAATTCTAGAGAGAAGAGCGAAAGTCGAGTATGATGCAAACCGCGGAAAAATATTTGTACAGATTCCCTTTTATAGATCTCCACATCTCGTATGAGATAACCTTCTGATTTTTCATGAGCTTTGGTCGAATTTGCAAGCTCTGGTAGAAACCTAAACATTTTACAGATCCTCCAAGGAAATAAAGACAAGGCCATCAAAAGTATTTTGACACTTTCGCAAATCGAGTTGTAAAATTCATAATCAGAAACCAAAAAAGTTCATTTTTCCTCTAATTTTAGCTGTCAATTTTATAAGCAGAGGGTATGATAAGCGTTTCTAGTAACGATGATCGAAAAATCACATTGTCTTCGATGTACATAATGTTCTACTCCTAAGCGTTAATCCTTATATCAGAATGTGAGAAGGTAACTTTATTCCACTTCTTAACGATATATTTTCTTCTGATGATGTGATTTATTTTCAATAGGAAAGGTAACAGGGGATTTTCAACGCGATGCCAGATATTTCTCGGGATTGCTCGTTGACAAAATATCCATGAATGTATGTACCTGGGATACTCTAAAGGTCGTCATCAATGATACCACACAATGAACAACTGGGAAAATATTGGATACAGAGGAAATGATATAATTGTGTTGCACACACCAACATTGTTGCTCATTGTATTAAAAATTGATGTCGATAAATGACACGTCGAATATTTATAAACTTAAAGTTAACAAAGAGACAAACATTACCTAGACCTACATATCTGCAATATATTTAAAACATTTATCTAAATTTAAAAATACGTATACATTAATTTGGGAAATAAATATTCAGGGTGATATTTCATTTTGAATGGAAATTAAGAAACAGATATCTAACACAAAAAGTCAAAATAATTTTTACATTAACGAAGGGAACAGAAAACTATTCAATTCCTTGTTATGTGAAGAAATAAACAGACTAGAGTATCCAACTTGTGCATTGAATAGTTTAAACTTTAGTCACTAAAATTTAAAAATACTTATTTTCTGCAATAATTCCATAATAATTTCTCAAAAAACAAAGTAGAATTCCACTATGAGGGGAAATATCTTTTAAGCATTTTTATCACGTATAAAAATATGCATAAACAGAAATTTGCATGCATAAATAAATACGCATATTTGGATTAAATTCTGCATTATTTTTTTTTAATCTGCATGGTGAACTGACCATGATAACTTTTATGAAATATCGATTTTCTTGGGCGCGTAACCAATACTATTTAAAAGACGCTGAAAGCACTATTTCAATGAAAATATTAATAATTTTTATAAATATATCGAAAACTATATCCCATACTTTCCCTTACATCGCGTATAGTTGTTACTGATTTAAAAATAAGAATATTAAATTGAAATAAATCAAACAATTTTAACAAGTGTGGAGCAGTCTGAATGAGCCTCTGTAAGGAGATGTTTGGCACCCAGTGTGCGTGGCGTGCAGAGGCGGGACGGCAGCGCTTTACCCTCCATCCACGTGCCTCTCGCTGATGAGGTCCAGATCGTCGTCCGTGAAGTCGCTCTCGTCCCAGGGCGAACCGGAGCCCGTAGGCGACTGCGGCGGCGGCGGCAACGACACCGGCGAGGGGCAAGGCGAGAGCGGGGGCGGCGACAGGGAGGAGGGCGAGCACGAGGACGAGGGCGAGGGCGGCGGCAAGGAGAGAGGCGAGGGGCAGGGCGAGGGGGAGAACCTGGGCACTGGCAAGTTCAAGGGCGGGTCCGGCGGCGGGGAGGCGCGCAGCAGGTGCGGCGGGGTGAGCGGCAGCGGTGGCAGCGCCTCCATGGCTTGCACCAGGGCGAGGCGCTCGTGCAGGCAGCAAGGGGACAAGCGCTCTTCGCGGCAGTGGGGGCGGCACACGCGCACCACGGGCCGCCACTCGGGGCTGTCGCTGCCGGCGCGGCCGCTGCGGCTGCTGCTGCTACTGCTGCTGGAGCTGGCGCCGCTGCTGCCTGCTGGTGTGGCTGCCCGCGCCGGCGCCAGCCCATGTTGGTTGCCTGGCGCGCTGCAGCGGCATCGGCAGCAATTTGGCGTTGGGACGGGCAGCACGCGACTATCGGCGAGCAAGCTGCCGCTTGACGAGGCGTGCCGCTGCACGCGACTTCGACAGCAGCTGCCATTGGCGCCGCTGCAGCGACTTCGACAGCAGCTGCCGTTGGCGCCGCTGCAGCGACTTCGGCAGCAGCTGCCGCTGACGCCGCTGCAGCGACTTCGACAGCAGCTGCCGTTGGCGCCGCTGCAGCGAATTCGGCAGCAGTTGGCGCTGGTGCAGGCGGCTCGAGGGCTGTCTTGCCCTGCGCTGGGAGCCGCGACCGGGGCCGCGGCCCCGCCCCCACCCCCGCTCAAGACCGCCCCCGTGGCCTCACCGCCCTCGCCGGCCTCGCCCTGCTCGTCGCCGTCGCTGTCGCTGTCGCTGCCGCCTTCGCTGTCCGCGTCGCCGTCGTCCATGCCGTCAAGCGCTGGGGGCGAGCGCAGGCGTCGGGTCTTGGGGGCGCACTCGTGCAGCCGCGCGCGGGCTGCCTGCGGCTCCTCGGGCGCTGGCGAAGCTCCGTCTTCCCGGATGTCTGCCATGTCTACGGCACACGCGGCGGCGCGTTACGACATACACACACAGGCACACAGCAGGGAGCAGCTAACTTATAGCAGACCTAGACATTAAGCCCCAGAAGAGAACAATGAATGAACAGCTACTCAACAAACTGCTGGAAGATTCAAAAGTAGGATATGATCAGCATTTTGAAGAGCATGAAGACTTTCCTGCCCAGAATAAACAAACGCTGGATGACAGGAATATAAAAATTGTTGACTTAGAGGCAAAATTTTGACTGCAAGAACGAAGTCTACGTTGTTCCCAACCACGCTTGGGGGCTTTTGATATAATTGTTGATACTGACATACTAGATCAAGCAGAGTTATTGCAAAACAAACATAGCAGAGTAACTAAGTTTGAACGGAAGAATGTGTAATCAATACTGAAGCTATTCAGAAAGATGATTTGAATATTGGCACAACAGGCTCAAGGAAAGAAGTTTCAAAAGTTAGTTATGGCGACCTAATATCAACCGGTAAAGAAGAAAAACACAGGAGTGTTTACTACTGTAATGAAGTAAAATGAATTTAAAAAAAAAACGAAACTTTGTGGAGTCTTCCGAAGTCACCACATTCTAGTGAAGTGAAAGCTTTAAAATTGCTTGTTGCCGGTTATGAGGATCAACTGAAAAAATATTTAAAAAAACAAACAACACGATAGTATGTTTGTTGAAGGTGTACAAAGAGCCGTGAACTCATCATATTGCAACGAATATTGTCGAATTAGCTACGCGGATTGCGTCATATACCGGCGCGTCCTCCCTAACCCCCGAACTGGACGTTTCCGGGTTATTTGGGAGTCGCGTAGAAATGTGGAGCAAGTGCCGGTTGTGTCGAGACGAGCGCCGGCCAGGTATAATTTTGCCGCTGCCGGCGGCCGCTAGTCGGAAATAAGCAGCCGCAAGTCAGTAAGTAGGAGAAGTATTAAGAAGTCAGGCCGTCAGTGTGAGTATGTAGTAGTCTGTCTGAAGTAGAAGCTGAGCTGTGAAGTGTGCTTCGCGGTAAACAGCAGTGCAGTGGACCCTGATCTGCGTAGGGAAGTGTGTGGTCTGCGCAGGGAATTGTGCTCGGCGCAGTGGACCGTGGACAGTGCATCGGACAGTGCGATAATGTAGAAGTGAACAGTGTAAATAAATAATCACATTGCAGTGAACAGTAAATAAATACTCAAAAGAAGTGATCTGTGTAAATAATCAAGAGAACGGAGTCGTGTGTAAGGAAAATAATGAAGTGAAGAACAGTAGAACTGTGTAATATATCTGTAAATAAATAACGAATTTTAGTGTATAATTGTTTTAATTCTCCACGGAGAAACGTTACAATATAATCGAAGTATCAAGCGCACTGTAATGGGACGGCCGCATGCATCAGGTGGCGACGCGTATTTCAACATTTTATTCCATGTAAAGTTTCTGTGTAAGGAGGCCTGAAAATGTACATCTTTCGCTATCTGCGAGGGTGTAGGAAGGGCCGGGGACGCAGAGGCATGCAGCCATTGTCTCGGCACATGCGCGCCTCGGCTCGCTGACTCACCGGCAAATACGGAAGCTGCTGTCTCATAACCCTGCAATTCTGCTGTACCTGTTCTTGTAACTTGACTGACGTTTGAGTTTCAACAAAATATGGTGAGACTCAAACGGTCGTCAATGACGCCGCGATTGGGCGGAAGAAAGCGCGTGACGCGCGCCCGCAAATCGCGGAAAACATAGTGGGAGAGGGCCACATGACCCGCGAACCTGAGGAGGTAGCTGCAACACAAGCTCGACCATTACGATTGAGGAGGCGACAGCGTTCTGAAGTGCCTTTCCGAGGTAAGGGACGAGGGCTAGTTTCTTTGGCTTACGGGGGGACGCCAGTGAAAGCGCTACCACAACGCCGCCGCCTAATGCATCATCGCGACATTGCGTGCCGCCTCTAGGGTCGCTAACCCAAGGACAAACGTCACGGAAAATGACTGTAGGTGCCCGACCTCGAGCCCAGAACTGATGACGGGCCGAGGCGCAACCACCGCTACAATGTGCCACGCCGTCGATGCCCGGGACCGGCGTTGCTAGCGACCGAGACGCCACCGCCCTGCCGGTGAGGCGAAACGCTGCCGTCGTCTGACCGCGCCGCCACCTGATCGCACCGCCCCAAGCACCAGGGCGAAGGGCCGCCGCTCGCGTAACCGGGATCGTGACTGCTGAGAAGGGCTTCGAAGGATGAACTCTGGCCCGTACGGCCAAATGTAAGATAAGTTAGTTATAAGCTAGTTTTAAGGAGTGTAATGGGAGGCTTCACGTTATGCAAAAGGAACATTAAATCCACCTTTGAAAATACCATATGTTTCAAGGCAGTACTAGAACGAGAATAAGCCCTATTACGCACACCTTCCTTTAGAGTCTACGGACTGAGCAACCGGGGCAACGCCGGATCGCCACAACCAGGTAAAAGGTGTGTCGGGACAGCCACACGTTCGTGTGGTTACAGTACACCATGTGAACTTTTAATGGGAGTGAGAATGCGTCACAGTATAGACTTGAAGATTGTGGATCTCATCAACAAAGAAGTAGTTAACGAATTTGAGGCCCAGCGAGACCAGTTTCGAGAGGATGCCAGATTGCAGTTGCCGAAGTACAAGAAGCGAATCGACAGAATTTTACCCACAGTTATGGAATATAGTCGCCATCAAGTGGACACTTTTTGGACCAATCCCAAAGTCAAGAAGAAGGTCCTTGGTCCTTATCGAATTGTGAAAGTCCAGCAGAACGATACTTATGGCGTCATCCGAAAGGGTTTTCACGAAGGACCTTTCCGTACTAATACTACTGACGAATTCATGAAACCATGGACCGACAACTACACATCAGAGGCGGATGATATCCTGAGTGACCGAATGTGGGAATCCGATGAAGGCTTTTTGGGTTTTCCGCGCGAGGAAGCAGAGAGCGCGCACGTCGTCTCTATAAATGGAAGAAGTTGCAAGAAGGCGCGTGTGGAAGTCAGTCGTAAGAGGTGTTGACCGTGTCAGTGCATCTGTTGTATTTTGAAGTTGTATGGCAATTATAGTTTTTTCTCTAAAATTAAGCTTGTGAGTGTTTCTTGAACATTCCAGAATAATCTGATTCCCTCATGTATATGAATTATGGAAAACTACACATTCCGGCAAATTTTTCTTTTTCAATACTTTTTTCTCAAAATTTGTACATATTTCTTTTTACTCTTTGTTAAAAACACAAGTTTAAATCGTTTTACGTTCTACTTATCACATAACTGGTAACGAATCTCTATTTTTTGTCTCGACTGAAGCTGTGATTTGGGTTTGCAGATCACTGTATTTTTGGAACCGAAAAAAGCTTGCGTTGTGGCTAAGATTTCCTTTTCCACATGTTTTTGCACAAAGATATTATTTTTAGAAGGAAGGGACACGTTCGACTGTTCAGCCACATGCTTCGGTTGCCGTATCATACTGTGCTGAGAGTTCGCGTTCCGATTGTGTATATCTGTTTGTTCGCCTGTGTATAATTGTTTTGTTTTTGAGATTTAGGAATTTAATAGTCAAAGTTAAATGTGATTTCGTTCACTTTCCTTCATTTGTGTTTATAGGTAGTGGTTAATTTATTAATCCACAATTTTTTTAAATTTAATTTCCTTTTACTTTTCAAATTGAATTTAGAATGTACGATACCCCAATCGTCATGTGCAAGAGTGGTTACGTGCTCAATAGTTGAAAACAACAAATGGTAATTAATGTTTATAACTACTGTGCTATAATTATATTTTCCAACGGGATTCATAATCAATGCCTACCGGTAGATAACTGTGCGCTCATCGAGCGCGAGGCAGCTCGGTTTCCCGTGAATCAAATGTTTGTTCCCGTGGGGCCAACTTTTACCATCAAAGGAATTTTAAATATTTTGTTCGGTAATCAAAACTTTATTATTTATCTTCTGTTAAAAAGGAAACGCGAGGCTTGGCCTTTTTGCAACTGCATGTCGTTGGCTTTAATTTTGGATATTGTATTGAAATAGTGGTGCAGTTTAAATTTATTTTTTTCCTGATTTCTTACGACATTCAAAGTACAAAGAACATGAGAAGCTTAAAGAAATATTCCTGTGTATTGGAGTCTCCTGTTTATTGGAATAGCTTTAGATTTGAGGAAAGGGAGGAAAATACTTCAGAAAATTGGGAAGGTTCAAGATAAAGTACTTGAGCGCTAAACTAGCGCTCCGCCCCATTGCGAGATTCGTTGTCACCATCGAGTGCGTAAATTTCGATTCATATCGTACGCCTCCTTTAGCATCACCGTCGCCATAAGAGATCGTGCTTTATTTTTAACCTCGGACGCACCATAGCGTTGATTACAGACGGAACGAACAGACAGATGTTATGCCGACAATCGATTTTCGTGTACCAACCAATAAAACATGGATTCTGGCTACACCACGAATTAGAGGATTTTCCCCGTAAAATTAGCGACAGGATTTATATACTTTTTTGTTACTAGGACCCGGCAATAAGTTTTTTTTCTGGTGAAATTTCGAAAAATTACGAAAAATTAAAAAGTCGAGAAAGTAAAAATCAACCAAACTAGTATGTAAGGTGTGAGAATTAGAAATATGACAGTAGAAATGTATATTTTGATAACTAAATTTATAGAGGCAAACTTATTCCTGGAGAGCAGAATGAACAAATTGAGGATATGAGATTTCATTCTGGACTAGTAAGTTGTTCGCCAAAATGACAATTTTTCTTACTATTTCTGTACGTCATCGAATTTGGCATAGTTTTAATAATCAAAATGACAGTTCTTGGCACAAATGGAAAAACATATACCCCGTAGAAAAAGCGTCAAATAAGCAGTAGAAAAGTTGTAATTTTAAAAAAATCATATTCTTTGCTGTAAACGTTTTTACAAGGATGCAAAAACAGAACCTTAGTGCAACATAGCCACACAAATTTTAGAAATACTGCCACACAAAAATTATTTTACACTTCAGTAAAA